CTGAGGCCTTGTCTCTGTGTCTCCCGCTTGCCCAAGGCCTGGCTACCATGGGGACCATTAATGCCTTGGGTGCCCTTGGAGGAATAGCCACTTGCCAACACCCCTGGAGCCCCTTTTAAAATAGCGTGTCTGAAACAGTGGAGGTCTATGTGGTACAGAGAACCAATCCCAGCATCAACAGTTTAAAGTATTTATTTAAAAGACAATGTTTGCAAGCATACTTTTAGCACCGCACCAGATTTGAGCAAGGGAAACAAAAGAAATTGGTAAAGACACAAATCTTCTGTCCTTTCCCATATACATGCCCTATCAGATGGTAAAATATGACAGACTGTTTAAGCTTAGCTAGTTACAGATCTCTACACAGTGTCCATTACCTTCAAGCTTGCTTCAAGTTTCCTAGGTGACTACATGGCCAATGGCCACCTGCTTGCAGACCAGAGCTCCAAGTCCTCCTCAACCTAGCATCCCAAAGAAAGAGATCTATTTTCTGTTGCACTGAGATTTTATCATCTCTTTCTCCCCTCCCACTTGACCTGGTCAGGCCAGGTCAGAGAAGCATTTCCTTCAGCCTCTTCCTGGAGATTTATCCCTGGAGTTGTTCTAGCCCCCAGTCCTCCAAACTCTGTTCCCTGCCTAGCTAAGGGGGGGAAGAAGCAGGAAGCTCGCTCCTGCTGGATGACCTTGGGCAAGCCATAGTTCTGGCACAGCTGTTCTTGAAAAAGAGCAGTTTCTGTCAGAGCTCTCTCAGACCCACCTACCTCACAGGGTGTCTGTTGTGGGGAGGGGAAGGGAAAGGCGTTTGTAAACCGCTCTGAGACTCCTTTGGGTAATGAAGGGCGGGATATAAATCCAATCTCCTCTTCTTCTTCTTTGTCTAAGCCCATTAGCATTTTTATGAAGGTGAGCCTGGAAAGCCATTGATGGACCTCCCCCTCCCCAGTCATTCTCTGCTCAGAGAGAGAGAGAGACACAGGGGGAAAAACAATTGGACTTTTGCTGCTTGCCAGCCTCCCAGGAGAAAATGCATTTCATCGCACCCATCATAAAAATCTCTAGAACGAATCAATATCAGCCTCTTAACAATATCATAGTTGCTCAAAATTAGAGCAGCAAGGGCAAGCAGAACGCAGTTCTCAGTGAAACTGCTGATGTCCCAATCACTGCAAGTCTCTTTACTCAAAAAGCCAGTATCCCATCCTAAACAGAATTATACCCTTCCAAGTCTACTGAAGTCAACGGACTCAGAAGAGTATTAGCCTGGTTAGGATGGACTGCCACTCGCTTACCTTTCAGAATGACTTGCTACCTGCACTTAAGCCAAGCAAGGGTTGAAGGATCTAGATGAGATTTTAGCATGTTGGTTTGGTTTGAGTTTAACTGGACCACCATTAAAATACTAAACGAGGCAACGCAGATGTTAGCCTTTAATACCACTCAGAAATCTTCCAAATTTTTAGAAAAATAGTTTCCTTTCCTTGATTATATTACAAATTCCCTGAACAAGAAATGGTCTACTCCAAAAAAATATCTAGACTTTGTATTTTATTGAGTACTTATTAAATGCCTCATTTTGTTGTTAAAACCTGTTGAGTGTGTACTGACATTAAGTAGTTTAAGAAGTGTTTAACTGTTTGTGTATTGAATTTATATGTCAATTTGAAATAATTGATTATGTTGTATTTGTTGAAGAAAATAAAAAAATTAAGGTTTAAAAAATGCTAAACGTATTTTCACCCCTGAAATAAAGGTAGGTTATAAAAATAAGGCACAGGGTCATAATGTCTTTAATCCTCTTGTCTGAGACAGGAATGCCCAAATGTCTTTCTTCTTTGCTAACTAGACTCAGTCTCCGTCTATATATTTCTCTGGATGACCACATGAGCCAAAAGTGGTAATGCCTGCTAAATCTTGTGGTTTATAATAATAACAAGGCACGATGTCGTGGTTTATAGCTCATGAGACTAGTTCAGGAATTTCATACAGTAAACTCTGAACTTTATGTAGTATGTGCACGTGTCTATAAATGCATTAACTCCTGCTTATGTTCTACAATCATAGATACGCTTCTGTTTGCCAATAAAAACCTTTCTTTCCCAATGCAAGGATTGCTGCAGCGAGTCATAAGAACATAAGAAGAGCCCTGCTGGATCAGACCAATGATCCATCTAGTCCCGCATCCTGTCGCACACAATGGCCAACCAGTTCCTCTGGAGGACAAACCACAGTGCACAGGGTCAACAGAGTCAAAGTGGAAGAAGATCTGAAGAAACAAGACAAAGCTTTCATAGACAGGCATTACAAAGCCTTTAATATTCCCTTCATTTTAAGGGCTACTGAGTAATTAAAGGGTGCCTGTAGAGAATCATCAAGTTGCCTTTTAGTTACCACAGAGAGTTGAAAGGTGATATTTAAAAAAACCCTGTGGCTTGGTTTGCTTACCTGAGTCACTTGTCAGAAGATTTGGGGGGGGGGATCCCCCTATCTCCTGTGCCCCTTACTAAGGGGTCTATTAGTGACGTGATGGTGGAAAGTGCCATCAGATCACAGCCTACTTATGATGACCCATAGGGTTTTCAAGGCAATAGATAGACAGAAGTGCCTGCCTCTGCCTAACAGCCCTGAACTTCCTTGGTGGTCTCCCATCAAGTACTAACCAGGACCTTGTCTTAGAGGTTCATCAGAACGCTGTAATGGCCACAGCCCTCTGCATCATAGCCCCTACCCTTTGGAACACCTGCCAGAGTAAGTCATAGAAAATGTTATCTGGCAATATTTACAAAATCATGCAAGACAGACCATCATGTTCCAGAAAACCTTTGGGAGGTAACACACTGTTTGCTGAATTATTTAGCCTGGATTTCTAGCCTGAGGGTTTATGAGTTAATTTGCAGGGCTTGGATGTTTGACAGATTCTGAGGGGATAATCTTTGTATTTGGGGGGCATGAATTCTGGATTAGGAAAGCTACTGAAGGAACTTCTTATCTTGTCCAAAGATCACAGATCCTATACTGCAACCTGGCTTGTTAAGATTGTATTTCCCCAACATCTGCTATTAGTATCATGAGTGAAAACACAACCTTTGTCTCAGCTAAGGACAGCTGCCAGTTTCTGGCCTCAGAGTTCCGTAGCCTAGATCTTCTCCCATCCCTGGCAATAAGGGGACACTAAACACGATCTTCTGTTAAAGGCAAAGGAACCCTAACAGGGGTGTCAAACTTAAGGCCCGGGGGCCGGAACTGGCCCATCCAGGGCTCTTATGCAGCCCGCAAGCAACTGGTGCAAGGGAGGGAGTACTTGGGGGGAGTGGGCAGAGCCACTCCATTGTGGCTTCAGCACAGCAGAACAACCTTGTCTGCAGCAGTTAAGCATTGTGGGAGCATCTGCCGTCTGCTCATATAGGTTTTCCTTTGCACCGCCCCTACCCAGCCAATGGGACCTTGCAGTGAGGATACACCAACTCAGAGCTTATCAGCTGTTGTCCTTTATATAGTTTCTGTCTCCAGTATCTGGCATTACATTTCATGGCACACATGGCTAGGCCAGATAAAGTGACATTTATGTCAGATCCAGCCCTCATAACAAATGAGCTTGACACCTCTGCTCTACTAGTAGAGGAAGAAAACTACAAGCCATATAAGAAAGGGTGGGAAATGCCCATTTATTTAAACATCTGGTTGATTTTACAAAGTTTTCTGTTGTTCTGGAATATAACAAGTTGGGTCCTTTATTTTTTGTTTCCCACATTGCTCCCAAACTCCACAAAAAAAAGACAGTAAAACTCAATGGGTGCTTGCTTGTTTGTTTTTAAATTTTAATTCAGCAGTTTGGACTATTTTGTAATCATAGTTGTAAACCCATATAGAGGATACATTTTCAGCTGATGGGTTTTGCACAACTCAATTTGCCAAGCACTCTTCATAAGGTAGAAATGAAGCCTATTAGCAATCGTCATTTTCTACAAAATCCGTCCCTACTTAAAGCTGAGACAATGACAGCCTTACACTGGATCTGTATACTTCCCACTTATCGGGCTTTCTCCCTTGAACCTGCCTTATCCTGAATCAGACTTTTATACCAATCAGACCATTTGACCCCATCAAAATCAATATTTGTTCACTCAGACTGGCAACAGCTCTCCAGAAATCTCAGGCAACAGTATATCACACAGCCTACTTCTAGGTCCTTTAACTAGGGATGCTGGGAATTGAACCTGTGACCTTCTGCATGTCAAGCAGCTGAGTGTGACCACTGAGTCACGCATCCTCCCCTTTCTCCCCACCTTTTTGAACCAAATTCCAGATGCATCAGCCAATCCCTCATACGATACTTTCTCAAATCTAGGAAGCAGATCTATTTAGAAAATGTATGTGATGCCTCTCCAGAGAACTTCCATTAAGCACCACACCTGTGTCCCATGAAAATACACTGCTGTTCTTTAAAACGGTTGCATGTACTCAAGGTCCAGCTCCCTAGAGTTCATAGTGGATTGGTATGGAATCAATTCACGTGCAGAAGTCACATGATATTTACACGTGACAATGTGCATGAGTTAGTAATTTTTCCCCCTTACAGAAAGGTTCTCCCCACTTGGGGGTGGGGGGGCATGTATTAATGTGCTCTGACTAATCCAACTGCTTGGTATGTAACCCTAGCCCTGGAAGTACCAGTATGAGCCATTGGTTCGGGCATCCATAAGCAACCCAGCATTGACGCTCCCTTCAGATCAAGCCTATCTTGAATGTACGGCATGCACCCTATAAGCCAAGAAGAGTCATCCCTACGGTGGTTATTAAGCAAAGGCTGAAACATCACTGTTTTTCTTAAGACCCAGCTGGGAGTGAAAAGGAACCTGGGGAAAACTGTTGCACTGGCCAGAAACAGACTGACCAGGCTGGGAGAGCAAGCGAGTTACGCCCGTTTTGCCCCCCTGCAGCAGAGATGGTGGGCTGTTAGTAGCCGCCTGCCCACCCCCTTCCCCTTCCTTCCAGCCACTTACCTATCTTGGACAGCAGGGCGGACATGCACCACACGAAGAAGAGGATCGCGCAGACGAAGCCCAGCTGTTGCAGGAGCATCTCCCGCCGCTTGCGAACTTTTCTCAGCTTGAGGAGAGGCGGCTTCGGGGGAACGCTGGGCTCGGCTCCCTGCCCCATCTCGGCTCGGGGCTTGCTTGGCAAAGCAGGAGGACAGGAGAGGAGGGCAACCTCCCTCCCTCCTTCCCTCTGCGGCTCGGGCAGCAGGGCTCACTCGGAAGGCATCCCCGCGCAGGGCTCCATCGTGATATTGCCAAGGGCGATGCGCGCCTGGAGGGGAAAACCGGCGTGCGGGAAAGCGGCAGGAGCCGGGAAGGGGGCCGGCGGGCGGGCGGGCGGGCGGAGGCAGGTGGCGGGCCAAGGGGAGTCAGCGGCGCCGCTGCAGCTGGGAAAGGCGCCCAGCAGCAGGTGGCGAGTCGGTCCTCCCACGCGCTCCGCTCAGGGCGAGCTGGCAAGCCCGCGCCCCATGGCCGGGGCCAGTCAGTCGGCTAGCTCGCTGCCCGGCTCTCCTCCTCTCGCTCGGGCGCGCGAGGCGAGGACTCACCGCCGCTGGCGCAGAAGCCGCCGCCGCCGCCGCATCCAGCAGGCTGCCCTCCCCTCCCGGCGAGCGAAGCGACTCTCGGAATCAAGCCCAAGTCGCCGGCGCTTTCGGGGCGAAGCCCCAGCGGCTCAGGAGGAGAGGGGCCGAGCAGCGCGCCGCAGGCATCCCGGGCGAAACTTTTACATCCTCCGGCCTCGCTTCGTCCCGCTGCGGCCAGAAGGTCGCGAAGCAGCGGCGAGCATCGTCTCCGTCATTATCGTAGCTATAAGAATCCCCCTGGCGGCTGGCTCGCTGCCTGGGATGCCGACGGCACCATCCACGCTCTCCTCGCCTTTGCTGGGGAAGACAGGCGAGCCAGTTTCTTCGGAGAGTCCTGGAGGGCAGCCCCTCCCTTCTGCCGGCCCCCTCTTTCCCCCCCCCCACCTCCCGCGCCCGGGCAACTTTCTCTCTCTAAGCACCTGAGTCTCTTCCCCACCCCTCCCCAAGCAGGGTAACGCGCATGCGCCTCCCGCGGATCACCACTTCAGTATGTGTTTTCCCGCGTCCACTCTCCTGCGGGGAGGGGAAGGTGTGGGATTAACTGACCAAATTAATCTTTTCCCCTAAATGGCGCAGGAATTATCCTTTCTGCATTTAGCACTTGGCAGGGCTGCGAGGCGGGGATGAAGCCTGCGAGTACATGTGCTTTTGCTGCTGCGCCAGCTCACGCCCAGGAGTCTCCAAAAATGTGGCGCTGGACTTTTCGAGGCTCCGACATTGAGAGGGTCGAGAGTCTCTCCCCCGCCTCAGGAATGGCTGCTGCAGCCTTTTAGAAATGGTGGTTGATGGAGAAGTGGGCTGCAGGTGAGAGGAAGAAGCCCCGGCGGCAATGAAAAGTAGGGCTGAAGTTGGAGGGAAATTACTTAATACTTCATAATGTAAGTGTCTTTTGCCAACGGTTTTAAACGCTGCTCAGAGGGATTCGCCTGCGTGGTGTAAGTATTGGGCATCCCCTACATTTATTCAGTCTAGAAAGTGCTGGAAAAAATGATCAGAAATGTTCACCCCGCAAAAAGCGAAAAGTTCCGCAAACACTATTGCTTTGAAGAGTGCACGTGTGGAAGCTTGTGTGCATTGGTTTTTCTAAGCAAGATGCTCGAGCTGTCTTGTATGTTATGAATACCTTTCTTTAATCTGAAAATTAATCTCCATTCCAGAAAAAAGCAGTGGTCTTGGTAGTGTTGCAAACACCAGGTTGGAAAATACGTAGAGATTTGGGGGTGGAGCCTTAGGAGGGCGTGGCTTGGGGAGGCGAGAGTCTTCAATGTGGTATAATGCCATAGTCCACCTTCCCAAGTGGCCCTTTTCTCCAGATGAAGTGATCTCTATTGCCTCGAGATCAGTTGCAGCCCCAGGAGATCTCCAGCCACTACCTGGAGGTTGGCACCTCAGAGTTACCAACAATCCACAGATACTTAAAGAAGCCAAAAACCAAACTTAGAAAGGGAGCCCATGATGACCCTGGTCTGCAAATCCACTGCCCCATGGGAAATCATTTCCATTTGTTAAATGAACCTCTTTTTGTATGCCATTGGACCTAACTTTAACTGGATTCAAACTCCGTGCCATAGACTTGTACTTTCCCATTAATTTGTAATCCAGACACATTAATGAACAAAAAGGAGACACATTTAAAGCCATGCCCATAATATGTTGACTGGCAGGTTCACCAAGCTCCAGTTGTACGTATTAAATAGGTCTTGTTTCAGTACTATGTGTACAGATTGATGGTGTGTGCTGAAGCTGTGCCTTATTCTAGGTCTCACCTGCCAAGAACACCCTATTTGCCTGGCAAAGTATTGCTGCCTGCATCTCTTGGAAACTGGATCTGGCATCTTTGCTTCTGGAAACTCTTCCAAATTCTGAACATTTTAATATTTTTAAGTGCTGCAATTACTATCCACCTGGAATATAAGAGGCTGCAGGGTATAAATGCTAAAATAAATAACTTTTTGAAGTGACCTGTTGTGTGCCAGTGTAAACGAAAAGGCTGTCATGATGGTTGGGGAAGCCCATGTTGAAGTTAATATTTCAAGAATTCTTTGGCAGAGCATATAACCTTGGTTACTTCAAGCTGGCCACCATACTGTTATATACACCTTGTGCTAAACTTTTGTTGACAGTCTCCTTTGAGAGAAAAACAGTGTGGTGTAGTGACTAAGAGCAGTGGATGCTGATCTGAAGCACTGAGTTTGATTCGCCATTCCTCCACATGAAGCCAGCTGGGTGACCTTGGGTCAGTCACAGTTCTCTCAGAGCTGTCACAGCCCCACCTACCTCACAGGGTGTCTGGTGTGGGGAGAGGAAGGGAAGGCGATTGTAAGCCACTTTGAGATTCCTTCAGGTAGACAAAAGGTAAAGGTTCCCTTGCTCAAAAGCCAGTCAAGTCTGACTCTAGGGTTGCGGTGCTCATCTCCGTTTCAAAGCCGAAGAGCCAGCACTGTCTGAAGACGTTTCCATGGTCATGTGGCCGGCATGACTAAACACCAAGGTGCTCGGAACGCTGTTACCTTCCCACCGAAGTGGTACGTATTTATCTACTTGCAATTTCTTGCTTTCGAACTGCAAGGTTGGCAGGAGCTGGAACTAGAGACGGGAGCTCCGTCATGCAGCAACTCGGATCTTGAACTGCTGAACTACTAACCTTCCACAGCCTGCAGTTCAGCGTCTTAACCACTTGAGCCACCGCAGGGTATAAAAACCAACTCTCTGATGGTTCCTCCCCGTCAAACATTACTTCATCTTTCTGTATAAAAGTGGTCTTGTTTTATGTGCACACTCAAAAATGCCTTTTTAGCGATGGGAGGTTGGTCTCGGATAAGAAGAGGTCTGAAGTATAGGTAATGTTTGCTGGAACAGACAGAATTAAAGCTTATTGCCTAAGAAAAAGCTTTAGGTTCTCAGAGCATGAGGAATGTGGGACATAGAGGCATACTTCAGACATGCCCATTGATTCAATCTTGATTCAAGCATATGTTTCAGATATTTCAGAATTGTTAGCCTTGCTTGTGCGTAACCTGCACTTCAAATTTAGTATCCTTGGCTGCAGCATTTTTTGTCATGCTGATTTCAGAGGCCAGGGCAGGACTGTAGATGTAAGACAGCAGCTACCTTAATAACATCATGTCACCTTGTTGTCACTAAAGCTCGCATTGTGAGGTACAATTGTTTTCTTTGTTAAACAATGGCCCCGTTCACATGGAGGATTTGCCACGCTAAAGGCATGAATGGTAGGCGGATTTTCGATGCACGATCACACCACAACATCTGCGAAGCGTAGCACACCCGTAGCCAACCCGTGGCATCCGCCGAAGACACGCAGTAAAAAAATACCTCAGAAAGTGCAGTAGTATTCGGAAAACGCGCAGCAGGGGCGAGCATCTGATCGTGGGAGCACTAGTATTTTGTGGCTTCTGGCACCCGTCTGAGTCCCGTCGCAAACCAGATGGTTTCCCTAAGCACATGCGCACAAACACTAAACTGGAAGCAGTGCTGCTCCATGGAACTCTGCATGCGCACAGACACGGAACACTTGCCGCCCGGCTTCTTTGCCAGCTCCAGCATTGCCATGTGATCGCGAGCTTCCTGCCACTGCACGAATACTCGGGAGACCGTGTGATCGAGTCAACGTGCTTTATTTTGCCCCTGGGCAAACAGCCACGCCTCACCCCTGCGTTATCTGGCCCGTGTGACCGGGGCCTTTGTTGACAATCTCCTGTGAGAGAAAAACAGAAGAACAGAAGCTGAAACAGGAAGGCTTTGAAGCTCCTATCAAAGTGAGAAATATTGATTCACCTTAAGTACAGAGAGCCGGCATGATATAGTGGTCAGAAGATCAGACTAGAATTAGGGAGACCCATGTTTAAATCCCCACTTTGCCATGGAAGCTTGCTGGGTGACCTTGGGCCAGTGAAACACGTCAGCCTAACCTACCTCATTGGGTTGTTGTGAAGATAAAATGCATAAGAGGAGAACAATTTAAGCTGTTCCGGGTCCCTGTTGAAGAGAAAGGCAAGGATATAAATGAGGTAAATAAAATAAAAGTGCAGTGTTGCAACTTCTGTCCTGTAAATAATTTAACACTTTTCAAAAGGTATTGTACCTGGGTCCTGGATCTTTCTGTTAGAGTATCCTCAGATTCTGGTCTTGCATTAGTACCATTGACCTAGGAGATCTCCTGAATCAGATATAATCTGACCCCTGAATCTGCCAGACCTGAGGGATAATCCTTGAACTCAAAGAGGACGGTATTACCTGGCTCTAAATCAAGGAGGTGCAGCTTAGACTTTGGGGGTCTGATTTGGCCATTCAAGGCAATTAACTTCCAAGGGAGAAAGCAGGGGACAGTGCCACAATGAGACTTCAAGCCAGATCTTTAGATGCCCTGAAAATTTTGCTTGAAAGATAGTGAGAGAGGATATATGGGTTCTGTTAATCTTGAAGTTTACCACAGAACAGGAGTCTGTGTCTGTTAACC